GATAGCTAAGCTGACTAAGCGATTGCTTAGGCAAGCGCAGGGACCGGGGTTCCATCCCTGGTACCACAGGCTGTGCGGGCCCTGCCCCTGGGCGTGCTGAGCCAGTCACGGAGACTGGGGGTGCACACCTGTAATCCCAGGGCTGGGGAGGCTGAAAGCAGGAGGATCACTACAAGTGCAAGCTGCATAGTGAGGCCCTGCACCAAATACATGAAAAGACAATCAGGTGCTGGTGCCGTCAGCAGGGAGTTCCTTGAAGGAAGAGACTTTGGGCTGAGATGCAAGGATGAGGCCAAGGGAGCCATGCAAAGATGTAGAGGGAGAGCATCTTGGCAGAGAGAACAGCAGGGCCGAAGCCCACCAAAGGGAATGGCTTTGCCTGGGGCAGCTGCCGGCTGGAGCCACATGAGAGAAGAGGAGGAGGAGGGGGAAGGGGAGGAGGAAGGGTTAGGGAATGGGGTAAAGAGGAGGGGTAGGAATGGGAGGGGTGAGGAAAGGGATGGGGAGAGGAAAAGGAAGGGGTGATGGGAGAGGAGGGGAGGGAGAGGTGGGGGAAAGAGGAAGAGCAGGGGAAAGGGAGGGGGAGGCAGGAATAGGAGGGGTGGGGACGAGAAGTCAGGGACTGCGGGAGCCAGCAGGAATGGCCTTGAGATTCAAACACCATACTGGGTTTTACCACCACGTGGACTGATCTCACCCCATCTCAGCAAGATCAGCGCCTCCCTCCAGGGTCTGGAGCAGGAACCACCCTTCTTGGGCAGGATCAGCCAGCAGCGAAGTGCTTAGCACAGACCCGCACTCAGCAAGTGTTTAACAACGACGTGGGCTCCATGACAGGCCTCCCCCGTTCCTCCTGCCGGCAAGCCAACCCCTCGCAGGAGCGGACCAGCTGCTCCATGCAGAAATATTGCAAAACTCGCCCCGGCTTTTCCAAAATATTTTCTTGCAGAAAACCCACAAGCAGCTAAGAGGCCGAATTCTGGGGATTGTGTCATCCTCCGGGCGGTCTGATGGGCTGCTTCTCTAGACCTTGCACTCCGTGTCAGCCAGGTCCGGCTGTGCCTGCACCCTCAGTACGCTGCCTCGGGGCCTGCAAGGGGAGCTGCTGGCCAGCAAGTGCAGGCAGCTCTTCGTCGTGGCCCCAGGGGCGGGAACAGAGCCTGAACCCAAACCCCAGCTCCACTGGTTCCCAGCTGCACGCTGTTGGATAAGCCTTGGTCCTAAACTCCTGCGGCCTCATTTCCCTGTCTGGAGAGCAGGGCCTCATTTAGGATTAAATGCACAAATGCAAAGTGCTCAGCATAGATAAGGAGAGACAGAACCACACAGAGCCTGCGAAGGGCTTCTTCCAGGTCTGGCTCCACCATTAGGGCCAGAGTCTGGGCCAAGGTGGCCTCTGGCGAGGGCCCCTCCTACTACCTGCTCTGCTGCACCCCACCCCGAGCTGGACAAGGCTTTGGGGTCTGCATCACAGAGCCTGTGATGTCCCCAGTACAGTCCTGGCCACATGATGCAGGCAGTGACTTGGGGCTCGCTGGCCTGGGAACCTGCCTGGGACCAGGACCTGCTGGATTCATCACTGTGTGTTCCTAGGACCCTGGTCCTGTTTCCTGGAACTCAAAGCCTCTGAGTTAGTGGATGAGTGAATGACTTTCTGTTGGCACAAAAGCAGCCTCTGTACAAGGATGGATTTCTTCCTTGTTGTGTTAATATAAGTGTCTGCAGCACCTCACTGTCCTGGGGAAATGTGACCGTTTCAGTGACACCCAGTTGCTGGACCAGAGGGACTGAGTTCTGCTCCCCCTGAGGAACCTGGGATGTTAGGGTCTCCCTCAGCACTGTTCCTAACTCACCCTCCTTTCCCAGTCATCTCAGCAGTTCCTTGGCTCCAACTGTTCCACCCCCACCACTGCAGCCCCAGCAGCCCCATCCAGGCAGCCACTGCCCCAAGGCCCATAAGAGGGACAAAGTGTCCCTACATCTCTCGCTGCTAGACTCTTCCATCAGGCAGTGACACTATGCCCTTGACTGCTCAAGTGAAAAGTCCTGTGCAGGTCCTGGGCTCCTCCTCCGACCCCTACTCTGCACAGCTGAACCCACACTGCATGCAGAGTTCATGCCCCTGCACCCCAGCAGCCCTCCACAGTGACCCCAAGGAGCTTCTGTCACCACTGCAGGGATCACAGGTGCCCCTGGAATGCTCTCAGTATTGTGCCTCTCTCTGGTCACCTGCCCCTTCCTTCTTGGCGTCCCTTTCTCCAGTGATCTCTGGTGCATCTATGCACCCCACCCCACTCCAAAGAGTCTTGTCTTGGGGTAAGGACTCTGCCTTCAGGTCACCCTGCATCACCATCCAATACCACCGCCAGCAGAGCTCCCCAGCCCGCCCTCTTCTCTCTCTGGCTCTGTTGCTACAATTAGGACACTTTCAGGTGCCTGAGAGATGAAATGATGACAACAGCTGGGCTTATCTCAGGTACTAGGCTGGCTACTGGCCTGCAGCCTCTGCCCCAGTACCAGAGGAATGGGCAGGGTAAGGGTGAGGAGAAAGCCGGTAGAAAGATGGGTGGGTGAGTGGATGGGTGGGTGGATGGGTGGATGGATGAATGGGTGGATGGGTGGATGGGTGGATGGGTGGGTG